ATCAAGAAGAAAAGAAATAATGTTCTAATGCATTGTAAAAGTTAATGAAGAGTCACATATTACAGTTAGTGCTGAGACTAGTGCAGTTAATGTTGTATTAAATGGATCACTTGGAATTGCTGTTGCTGAAGGAGTAGAAGCAGAAATGAAATTAGCACCAATTGGAGTTGTTGCTAAAGCACAAATGCATCCACACGTGGATCCAAAAGCATTTGTAGAACGTATATTAAAATTAAAAGAAGGAAAAAAGTTAGCAGTTAACACACCAGCAATTTATATTAAATGGAACTATAAAGCAGAAGAATTTTCATTACCAATAACATTTACATGTTGGCCAGCAGAAGCACAAAATGGATTAACATTGTCAATGTCATATGAAGCAACACAAGAATTGAAAGATGTTGTTGTTGAAATACCGAATCTTGGACCAATTACTGTAATTAGTATTGATGGTAATTTAGAAGTTACTGATAAAATACAATGGATTATTGGAGATATTAGTGATGGAAGTAATGGTTCATTAGAAATTGAAATTTCTGGAGAAGGATTGGAAACATCAAGACTCTTCCCTATTTCTGTTGAATATCTTCATGAACACACTCTTACTGGAAATGAGGTTGTAGAAGTAATTTCAAATGGTCAATCAATAGAATTTGAAAAAGAAGTTATGTTGAATGCAACATATCAAATAATACCTTAATTAGTATTGAAATAATAGAATTAGATTCTTTTTTATAAATGGAAAGGAAATAATTATTTTAACCAACACTGATTTAAAATATCAATTTATTGTAGAGAGTCTTGAATTTGATGGAGAAGTTGTTCTTTATTTTCTAAGAATTTCTTTTTCTCTAATAAGAGATTTTGTAACGTGAAAAGGTGTAAATTTTCATTTTCAAGATTGTCTTGTATTGGTACCTGGATCGAGGCAATCCAGTCATAAGAAAAATCATTGTCTTTTAAAAATTGAATCAAGGCCTTAGAAACACTTGAGTTTGGTATGTTAAGTTTAACTATAAAATCACCACGTTCTTCACTATTTTGTTGTTTTAATAATCCAAGTGAAGGGAAAGTATAATGGTCAGAAGTAAGTTGAGAAAGAGGAATGTCTAAGACTTGTCCATTAATATAATCAATAGAAATGTTATTTGCTGTTATATCTTCTAAAGTAATTTCTCTTGTACATACCAAGTTAGAATCATTATTTGGATCAATAAAAAAGTTAGGATGATCTAAGACACTTAAACGAAACTTAAATGATACATCTCTAACTAAATCTGTGTATGAATAAATAACGTTTTGTTTTAATGAAGAATTAAGTTTTATTTTTACCTCAGTTGATTGGTTTTTTGATTGAGAAGATTCAGTTTTTTCAATTCCACTGTAATAGTTTTCTAAGCTCAAAACATAAGTTTTAATGTTATCTTTTTGAGGTTCAGCAGCAAAAAACATTAAATCTTTTTAAGTTGTTCAAGTTCTTTTTTTTTTTAAATCTTTTATTTTTTTTATGTAATGTTAAATTTTATTTATTCTATACAAAAAAGTTATCAAAATATTAGAGCTATGTAGTGATCAAAACACTGGTTGTTTTTACATTAACTCAAATTATCTTTGTGTTTTAGTAAGTGGAAATGTTTCTTCTTTTTTATTAAAATAATTTTATTACTTATATTTTTATTTTCATAATGGTTATTTCACTAAAAAACGAATTTTTTAATATATTAACTAATTTATAATTTTATTAGTATAATAAATTTTTTTATTAACAAATTATAATTGTTACTATAATAAATATAATTATTATATTAGAGAATATATTACTAATTTTCAATTATATTATTCATTAATTTTTTGTTATTCTGATAATTATTGACTATAATTGACAATACTTCTATTCATAATTAATACAAATTAAAGGGTAATAAAAAAATACTTTCAAGATATTTAATTTTCATAATTTAATTATAAATTATTGTTATATTAAACAGATTAAGATTTTTATAGATATTTTACTTCTATAAAAGAAAAAAGAATATACAGAAAATTGTTTACATACATTAAAAAAAGATTGATATGGTTTTATTAATTAAATAAATTATAAAAAAAAATAATTGTTTTAAGTAAAATTTTCTTATTTTCAATAAATAAAAATAGATTTAAACTCCTTTAAAAATTAAATAAATAATAAAAAAAAAGTAATTAATTAATTTTAAAGAATTTATTAAGTTGTTTTATAGAATCATTTCCCCATTTCCAAACAATTGGACCATTTTTAAAGAAATGTTTTTTATCTATGTCATTCCATGATTGAGTAAGTAATTGGAAGAATTGAGCTAATTTTTTGTTATATGACGTCCATTCTTTCTTTTCTTCTTCATCACAAACTCCAATGATTTTTTCAATTAGTTGAATTTCCTATAAATAAGGTAATGATTAATTCACCCATTAGAATAATTATAATTATATTGAAATAATTAACAAACTTCATCAACGGTAAGTTCTTTTGAAACATAAAGTAAAAAGAGTTGTAAAAATTTATCAGATGGATTTAATAATCCCCAATTACTTAGTGCTGTAGAAATAACCATAATTAAATCATCCCAACCTAAAGAATATTCATGTTGAAGATATGTCAAAACGTATGACAATTTCTTTGCTCCTTCAGCATCATTTCCAAAGACATAAATAGCAGAATTTTCTGCTGGTTTACCATCTATATTACATTCAACTTCAGGAGTATTTTGAAATCCACCTAAATACTCACTAACATGAAATATATCTTGATCACATAAATCATTGTATATAAACTCTGCAATATCTCTCAAATCTTTTCCTTCAAATAATAATTTCATAATTGAATATCCAAATGCTTGACCTACATCTACACCAAGAAGATACATTACTTCTCCAAATAAATTTAATGGAACTTGTTGTGATTTGATAGTATTTTTAATTGTTTCCCAATCTGCAACTGATGCAAGTTGTTCAAATACTTCAAACATTTTCTTTGATTCTGTACTGTTCATGAAATTTTTAATGAATTTTGAGATGTTAATAAATTTGTTATTTTATATTTTTATGAAAAATATATATACTAAAAACTACAAAATCACTTCAATGAAATCAATTATTATTCTTATCTTTTGTATTTCTTTACTTGTTTATTCAAAAAAAATAGATGACATTTTAAAAGAAATTGATGATGAACAATCTCAAGATAATTTAAATAATGGAATTTATGAACTAACATCTCAAACTTTTAGAAAAATGGTTAATGAAAAAAATTATACATTTGTTATGTTCTATGATCCAACTTGTCCTCATTGCAAAAAACTTATTCCTCGTTTTAATCAACTTGGCATTATTCATAATAACCAACCAAACTTTAGATTAGCCCGTCTTGATTGTGATTTATATCACTCATACTGTCATAAACAAAGTTTCTTAAAAGGGTATCCATCATTGTTTTTGTTCTACAATAATTATATTTATCCTGAATATTCTATGTCATACTCACCTGAAGCAATGAAAGATTGGATCGAATTGATGATTAAAACAACTAACAAAGATGAACATTTTGATGAACATCTTCAAAAGGTTGAACTTTAATTCATTTAATTAGTATTAATCATTGCATCAAGTTTTGTTTGAATAGTTGAAGTCATTTTAATAGCATTTGATACTGGTTGATTAGTTTGTTGTGATAATTTTTTTGTTAATGAGTTGATATCATTAACAAGCTTTTCAGAGTCACTCACACTCTTTAAGGATGTTTCATTAAATACATTATTCATTTTCTTCATTTCATTTCCATGTTTTTCAATAGTTACATCTAATTCATTTCTTGCATGAAGCACTTTATCTTTATACTCGTTTAATATTTCAATCATCTCTTCTGAGTATTCTTTCATTTGTCCTTCTGAAATACACTTCATTAATGCCTCTTCATCAAGTTTTAATTGTGTTTCAATAAAATTGAATTGTTTTTGAATATCAGTATATTTTTGAACTTTTTCCTGATCTACTTATTGAGTATTTTTCTAATGATAATTAACTCTTTAACAAACGAAATTTATCTACAATTTGGAAATTAGTTTGTATTTGTTGGGCAGTACTCATGTAATTATTTATTTTCAATTATTAGTTTTGTTATCAATACAACTCTTTTTATTAATTATTAATTATATTATTAATTATTATTATTAATATTTAACCAAAAAGACTCAAAAATCTCATTTCAATGTCTTCTGGATACAAACCTGGTAAGAAAAGAAAAGTACAACCTGTTCAACCAATTAAGAAAGAGTTAGTTGATTTTTATGGGTGTCAAATACCTAAAGAATATGAACCTTATTTACAAAGAACAAATGTTTCTTTGATAATTAAAAAAGGATTTATTAATGGAATGAAAAATGATGCAGAGATGTTTTGTAATGATGATTTATTTGAACTGTTAATGAATGAATTACTTAATGAACAACCTGGCGCATCATTTTCATCTTGTGTAAGACAAACTGCAAATGTAGCTACATTACCTGGAGTTATTAAATCATTAGCTATGCCAGATGCTCATAGTGGTTATGGATTTTCTATTGGAGGGGTTGCTGCTATGCGATTAGATGATCCTAATGCTGTTATTTGTCCTGGAGGAGTTGGATTTGATATTAATTGTGGCGTACGATTATTACGAACAAATTTAGATGACAAGGATATTGAACCTCATTTAGTAGAACTTGCAGATGCACTTCAAAAGAATATTCCCAGTGGAGTTGGAACAACATCTAACCAAACACTAACAGAAAAGGAAATGAATGAAATTATGAATGAAGGCTTGGAATGGTTAGTAAAAAAAGATTTAGCATGGAAAGAAGATTTAGTTTATTGTGAGGAAAATGGTAGAATTATTAATTCTGATCCACATCTAGTTAGTCAGAAAGCACGAGGAAGAGGTAGAAATCAACTTGGAACATTAGGAAGTGGGAATCATTATTTGGAAATACAACGAGTAGATGAAATTATGGACATGGAAGCAGCTAAACAAATGGGAATTTCACATATAGGTCAAATATGTATTATGATTCATTGTGGTAGTCGTGGATTAGGTCATCAAGTATGTCAAGACTTTGTTGATCTGTGTGTAAATCAAAGTAACAAAAACGAAGTTGATATTCAATTAACAGGTGTTCCTTTTCAATCTGACAATGGTCAAAAATATTTTAAAGCAATGAATGCAGCAGCAAATTATGCCTTTGCAAATAGAGGAATGATTTCATATCATGTACGTTGTACATTTGAACAAGTTTTTAAAAAATCACCAAAAGATTTAGACATGCATTTAGTTTATGATGTTTGTCATAATATTGCAAAAGAAGAAATTCATTTAATTGATGGTAATGAGATAAAATGTATTGTACATCGAAAAGGAGCTACTCGTGCTTTTGCTCCTTTAAACCCAGTTATTCCCGATGCATATAAACCCATTGGACAACCAGCAATCATTGGAGGAAGTATGGGTACATGTTCTTATATGTTAGTTGGTACACAAGAAGGAATGAAAAAAACATTTGGATCAACTTGTCATGGAGCAGGACGTAAGATAAGTCGAGTAAAAGCAATGAAAGATATTTCTTCTAATAGTGTTGTTGAAGAAATGAAGAAAAAAGGCATTGAACTAAGAATAACAGATCCAAAACTAGCTGCTGAGGAAGCTGATGGTGCTTACAAAGATGTAAAAGAGGTAGTAGAGACATGTCAGTCAGCTGGAATATCAAAGATTGTGTTTAAGTTGAAGCCATTGATTGTAGTAAAAGGATAATTTAAAAAGGACTGTCTTTATCTCTTTAATTATTTTATTTGACCCTTTTAAATTTATCTTATATTCAACAAAAACTAATATCAATATTTTTAGTGCTTAATTCATTATATTATAAAAATGAGAGAAGTTCTGAATAAAAAGAACTCTCTTATGGAACGAATAAATTAACTTTTCCTAGCCTTTTTTTTTCAAGTGATATCTTTAATTTCTTAAAATTTGATGAGTTTATAATATCGACTAGTATTTCTATGCTAACACACTACTGAATACAATGTTTATATAAATAGTTATTATTAAAAATATAAGAAATGGAAATACTATTTATTTATCTAAGAATAATACTAAATAAACAAAAAAAAACTATTACGATATTTTGCATTAACACTTCTCTTAGTTTATTTTGAAATCAATAAAAGAGAAACAAACAAAACTAGAATTCATGAGTTATAAAAGATATAAAATATCTCAGTGTTATAATTATTGGACTTTATTTCTATTGAATACAATTACTTATTTTGATGAAGCACTCATTCAAAAAGCAATCATTTAAGAAGACAGTCAACAATAACGTTGAAGATGTTATTCACATCAGAAATATTTGCTTCTAGGCCATCTAATGTTGATTCACTTACAATTTTTACCACTCGAGTTTCATTATTTGATTCGTCCATTTCAAGTTTCTTCAGAGTAATAGCAGCCTTCTTTTCAGAAACTTTTGTATCAATATAAGGTTGAGGTACATCTTTTCCAATCATATTTTCTAGTGGTAATGAATAAATTTCACTATTCTTTGTCACTGCACAAATGTATTCAAGACCAGTGACTGTAGTGTAGAACACCATTGATGTTATTTCTGTATCTATTCTCCATACAGCAACTGGTTTTATGTCACCTATTTTCATTAAGAAAACATCCCAATGTCCAGTATTTTTATTAACAAATAAATATAAATTTAATGTACGATGTGCAGCAATGAGAATTGGAGTACAAAGGAATGATTGATAAATCTTTCTAGAAAGAAGATCATATATAATAACACCTTGTTTTGATTTAGTGAGAATGTATTGTGAATTGGATAAAAATTGAACTTCAACAGGTATAAATTCTTTATTGTGTTGTTCATATGGAATAGGAAGTGAAAATAATAATTTATTTGATAAAACATCCCATATAGTAATTGCTGTTTTAAATGAAACTGCCATAACACTACCATCTTTAGATATAGATGCTGAATATGATGGTTCTCCATAATAAGCACCAATAGATCTACATTTCCATGTTATATTTGATCGGACTTCTCCTTTTGTTTTAAT